GCAGAGCCCGATTGTCAGAGCTAAGCCTGGCACAGCAGAAGAACTGTACAGTCAGTCCACCTGAAGCTCTTCCCAGGGAACCAGCATCCCAGCAACTTGTCTGACAGAAAGCAGCTGCTCTGAGAATGGTATAAATAAATCAAACAAATAATCCCTTCCCTCATATTCAGATAGTTTCAGACCACCGTTGGTGATACTTTCAAAGGCATGGGTTAAAATTTTAGTCAATGATGGAGTGCATATATGACAGTAGCCCACAAGGTTATACTACTATTATTTTACTGTATCTATTCTATGTTTAGACATGTTTAGATACACACTTACCATTGTGTTACAATTAATTGCCTACAGTATTCGGTGTAAATAACAAGGGTGTACAGGTTTCTAGCCTAGGAGCAATAGGTTCTGCCATATAGCCTAGCTCTGTAGTAGGCTACGCCACCTATTGATAGGTTTGTGTAAGTACGCTCTATGTTTCAACAAGGATGAAATCCCATAAGGGTACATTTCTCAAAACATATCCCTGTCGTTGAGCTATGCAGGTCTATATTTACATGTCTTATAAATATACACTATATATAGTAAACATAAAAAATCTCACATATATAAATTATGTATATATATTTATGGAGCGAGGGTTATTGGACACGGAATATTCCTTTATTTTCGGCCACAGAAAATCACAATATTAATTAAAAGCTATTCCCTGGACTAGTATAAAGGGAAGTGAGTGAGTAGTTCCCTCAAGCACAAAACTTAAGGCAACAAATCTAAGCAATCAAGACAAATAACAGGCTGGGCGCGGTGGCTCACGCCTGTAATCCTAGCTCTCTGGGAGGCCCAGGCGGGTGGATCACTCGAGGTCAGGAGTTCGAAACCAGCCTGAGCAAGAGCGAGACCCCGTCTCTACTATAAATAGAAAGAAATTAATTGGCCAACTAATATATGTAGAAAATATTAGCCGGGCATGGTGGCACATGCCTGTAGTCCCAGCTACTCGGGAGGCTGAGGCAGGAGGATTGCTTGAGCCCAGGAGTTTGAGGTTGCTGTGAGCTAGGCTGACGCCATGGCACTCACTCTCGCCTGGGCAACAAAGCAAGACTCTGTCTCAAAAAAAAAAAAAAAGACAAATAACATATTAATACAACCTTTAAAAATGAAAATGAATGCCTAAACATCCAGGCTAAACCAAATATCAAATTGTAGGTAAAGACAAGCAATGACCCTGCCCTTGAGAATCCTCAAGAGTCTTACAAAGGACAGGTGCACACAGTGCAGCAAATGATGACAAATTCCACTGTCTATAAAATTCTTACTCAAGAACATAGAAAGTTCTGACCTGTTACATGTCCTGAACTGCTTGTACCCAACACTGCTCATTTCTCTTTTTAGTAAGAGTTGTCAAGGTGGGGTAGTGAAAAACAGGTCACAGTAACTTGAAGTTAGATAAAAATGATCTACCATTGTTACGGGGTCAGAAGAAACTGTCAAACATGGCAATTCTCCCAGCTGAAAAACAATGTAGTAACCTTAAAAGTACTGTTGAGTTTGTTTCCTTTAAAGCCAGGAAAGTAAAATCACATAAAATTCTTGTTTTGGAATAAATAAAATATTTAAAACTTAATGCTGTGAGCTTCAGCATAACTGAATTCGTTTTGTATTTTTTTTCAACTGCCTTAACGTTGTAAGGTTGAAGAATCAGCCATTGGGAAACCACACCGCAATAACATGGGGTGCGCAGCCCCCTGTATCCCCCAGTGGGCGGCCTCACCCCACTTTCTCCGCGGGCCCCATCACTTGCAGGGCTTCAGGCCCCTTGGTCGGCCCCTTCCCGTGGCAAGCTGTCCCTGCACCCCGACCCCGCACAACTGCAATCTCTAAGAATCACAGCCTGTACGATCTCGAGCCCTCCAGTCCCTTAATACACGGGTTCTTTTGTAAAAGTAAGTCTCGCTAAAGTCTCTCTGAGAAATAAAGCCCCCAGCACTGGGAAAAGTTGAGAAATGAAAGGTTCTGTGTTCGCCAAGAAAGAGTCTCAGGCGAAGCCGCCGCGGAGCTCCCATCTCAGCAATCAAAGGCAGTTTTTTTTTAACTCACTATTGAAGCAGCACAGTCTTCTAAGATTAGAAGCCACGATGGCATTTTTCCCTGGGGCCGTGGGACCCACTGGGGCCAAAGGCCGCAAAGCCCAGGTCGCCTAGGTCCCGCGCGTCAGACCAGGCCATGCAGCCGCGCTCTCGCCGCCCCCGCTGCGCAGCCAAGGGAGCTTCGCGCTCATCGCGCAGCGGCGCGCCCTGGCGGCCGGCTGGTGAATCGCTGAAAGTGGCAAGTCCACACCTCCCTGGTACTGGCAGGAGTGATGCTCTCTCTGCTCCAGCCCTGCCTGCTCACTTGGCTGAGGCAAGCCTTGGCACCATGGCCTGGAAACAGGAAGCCTGGATGCTACTGAGACAGCTGAACAGGATCCCCTGCCATGCATGCCTGAACGACAGAACCCACTTCGAATTTCCTTGGAAAAGAGGGAATATCACCCCAATCCAGAAGACACAAGATGAGACACCTGTTTCCACCATTCCATCTCCATCCTCTTCAACACAGAGGAAAACCGTGCTGCTTGGGTTAAGATCCTCCTGCTTCCACTTAATCTCCAGACCTGACCACAATCTGGGTCAACTGGAGCTGACAAAAGAAGAAGATCTCTCTTGTCCTTATCTGGGAATTGCTGTCCAGAAGTATTTCCAAGCAATCACCTGCTACCTGAAGAAAAAGGAATGCAATCCTTGTACCTTGGAGGTTGTCAGAGGGGAGATTGAAATGTGCTTTCCCACCATTAGCAATCCTCAAAGAGAAGTCAGCAAATAAACCAGAAATTCTATATTCATAACTCTCACTCTAACCAATTATATTATCGTTTTCTAGGCTGAAAAGCAATCTCAACTCTGATTTTTGCACCAGTGAAAAAAATGTGAAACCACAATCATAAGATTATTTTAAAATTATATTGTACATCATGAATTTACAAAAAATATTTAGAGAAAAGAGCATGATCTATTTCCCTAATGTTATGATTTATAATTTTATTTATCTACTTAAATTTTTGAGGGGTATTGCTGTTAACAAAGTTTGAAATTTAATTTTTGATGGAAAAGTTTTTTCAAGATGGTATTTTAGAAAAATGTTCATCAGTTAAGTTGATGCTAGCTGCTGTAACAAATAAACAGAAAACTACCAGTAAGTAGATCATAACACAAATTGTTCTTTCCTTCATATAAGGGCTCGATGCAGAAATTCCTGATGAGGTGCTGATAATAAATACCTTATACCATTTGGTTCCTTTATTAGTATTATCTTTATTATCTAACTCTAACTGTATTTGATCAGGGGTAGTGTCCTTTTAAATCATCTATTCCTTTACTTCTTGGTAGCCCTGACAAGAAAAATAATGATCTTCTGAGTTAATTATCCACTAGGAGAGAATTTGACGTAACTATGCATTTCCATCATACAGAGAGCATACTATATTCTCACAAACTTGCCTTTCTTGTGTACAAAGTCTTGTGGTTGGTGTGCCTCCCCTAATTCTCTATCAAGTCTGAATTTGTCAAAGCTGAAAACACCCCCAGGGCCAGGAATGATTACTTTTCTTCTAGCCTATGCCTGCTGGCTACCTTTGAGCTACAGCCCCCCATCTGCCCATTTTGTTTCTGCTCTATCCCATCCCTAATCTCCATCTTCCCTGTGTTGAATGCAGCTAATTTATATTTTGTCATTTTGTTCTCCACTGAAATAGTGCCATATTTACATATAAATTTTTTCTTTAGATCCCCAATTACTGGCAGGTAAAAAGTGACTTTTGCTTTCTATGAAAAAGGAAATGAGAAAGAAGGATATGTGGTGTCTTAAAAGTTACATAGAATGCTTTATGTGTTTTACTTTATCATATTTACATCCCTGCACTGACATTTCGGAAAAGACAGTTTCCTTTTATTTGAAAAGAATCAACTATGATTAAAATGTCTCAAGGTTCTTTGGGATATTTGAACATTAATGCAAATGATTTTTTAAAAAATCAAATTGATGTATTCTCATTGGAGATGATATTTCTCCTGAGGGCGAAAAACTTAGTTCTTAGGGTCATGAAAGAATCATATATTTCAAGGATTATGGCCCTTCAAGCTCAACTCTAACAAACCCTTATTTATCCCTTAGTATTTACTTCCTTTCATAGTGTTTTCTTGTGTATCACATGAGAAGCATTGACATTCAGTTCATGAAAGGTACAAAATGTATGCAGGGTGAGTGCCTCAAACCTATGTCCAATAGATGGCTGTGATTGGTGGACTTTGTCCACATTATTTGCTCAATCTCCAAGTCATAGCTTGAGATATGGACTCCATTAGCACAAGTGTGGGCTGCCTTTGGCTGTCTTGTGGATGCAGAGTATGTTCAATAGTGCTTCCTCAGCGCTTCCAAATCTGTTGTAGAATTTGAGAATGAAGTAGAAATATAACACTTTTTAGTATTTAATTCTATTATGCTAAAGGTATTCAACACTTCAATAACTATGTCAAGTGTTGAAAAAAATATTGCCAATGCCTGGATGAATATCCACCAGCTAGTGAAGTTAAAAATAATTTTCTTTATGAAGCAAAATTAAATGTTAAGTACACTAAAAATAAATGTTAAAAAATAATTTATTTTAAAATAGTTTTAGCAGTTTTGAAATATTTAAAAATATTTTTATATTATATTATGTGTTTATATAAATCATAATTTCCAAATGTAACCTGATTCATGAAAATTTATATAAGCAAATTACACTGAAAGTAACTGGGAAAATTAACTTTTATAGAGTCAAGTTTAATATCAATGACTTTCAAATTTAACTTTTAGCTTAAAATTTTTATTTAGATATTCTTAACCCTGCATTGAATAAAAAAGTAAACATTACATTTTTTTATAAAAAAGCATAGATATAAATACAGTACATAAATATATATACATATGTTAGTTAAGTGATCATGAGGGTATCAATTAGGAAAAAAATTATGTACCAAAGCTCTGGAGGTAAGGTAAGGGAAGGCAAAACTGGGGGAAAAAAATGCTTGAGAACCGCAGCTCTAAACCCATGTAGAGAGTGCATAAAGAAAGCAAAAACAGAAGTGGATAGTAATGTGGGGACGTAAAGAAAATGGAAACTAGAATGTTCCCTATTTAAGGCCTATGCACACAGCAAGGTCTTCAGAGAACCTAGAGACCAAGGCTCAGGGTCACCCACCTCAGACAGCCCAGCAGCACCTGCAACATCCCAATGGCCTTGCCCTTGTCTCTACTGATGGCCCTGGTGGGGCTCAGCTGCACGTCCCTCTGCTCTCTGGGCTGTGAGCTGCCTCAGACCCATGGCCTGGGAAACAGCAAGGCCCTGAGACTCCTGGCACAAATGAGGAGAATCTCTCCTCTCTCCTGCCTGGAGGACAGAAATGACTTCAGATTCCCCCAGGAGGAGTTTGATGGCAACCAGTTGCAGAAGGCTCAAGCCATCTCTGTCCTCCATGAGATGATCCAGCAGATCTTCAACCTCTTCAGCACAAACGACTCATCTGATGCCTGGGATCAGACCCTCCTGGACAAACTCTGCACTGGACTTTACCAGCAGCTGGATGAGCTGGAAGCCTGTCTGCTGCAGGACGTGGGAGTGGAGGAGACTGCCCCGATGAATGAGGACTCCATCCTGGCTGTGAGGAAATACTTCCAAAGAATCACTCTGTACCTGAAAGAGAAGAAGTACAGCCCTTGTGCCTGGGAGGTTGTCAGGGCAGAAGTCATGAAATCCATGTCTTCATCAACAAAATTACAAGGAAAATTAAAGAGAGAGGAATGAGACCAGTCCAACATGGAAATGATTCATATTCACCAATAAACCATCTCACACTTTCATGAGTTTTGCCAATTCAAAAACTCTCATATCTGCTATAACCATGACATGAATTGAATCAAGTGCTTCAAAAATTTTCAGGAATGTTAAGCAACATTGTCTCCGACTCTCTAGGTACTACTGCCTGACAGATGACCATGCTGATGAATCTATTTATTATGTATTTAAATATTTATTTCTTTAACTATTTATAAGATTTAAATTATTTTTGTTCATATAATATTATGTGCATCTTTACACTATGGTTGATATAATAAAATGTGTTCTCTCTATATAGTCAATTTATTATTTATTATGTTTTTACTATAGAAAAGTTCTTTTATTTGTTTATTCTTTAAAATGAAATGCCTAGCTTGATTGTATACCCTAATTAAAGAATGGATGACACAGTTATTTACCCATCATTCTTACATTCAAGTTACAAGTAAAAAGAGATGTTCTCTAAACTAGGTTGTATGTTGTAGTCAGAATATACAGGTGAACATAAAAAATACATTTCCTCATCTCTTGTAACTTTGATTTTTGTAGGATAAGAAAACTGAAAACAATAATTGTACTTAGTTCATATCAGTTATGTTAAATGCTATAATAAGAAGAAGGAACAACTAACTAATAAAATCCTCTCAGCAGAAGATAGACCAAAGCATGTCAGGAAATAAAAATAATGCAGGAATAATCTTTATGCATTGACAATTAAATGTCTAAATGAAAATGTCACTTGCCAGTTGGACACATGAGTTTGAAATTTTCGAGGAATACAATGCCTGGAAATTCATAAATGGCAATTGAAAGCCCCCAAATAGAGGTGGTCACGTAGAGAGAGACAGTAGAGGAAGAAAAGGACTTAACTTGATTCTGAGGACCTTCCACATTTAAAGGGAGAGGAGAAAAGAGCTGCTTTGGAAACAGAGGTGCAATACCTTACATTAGAAGGACAAGGGAGAATGGTGATAAAGGTATATTTAAAGAAATAAATGTGCTTAGAAGAAGAATCAATGGACTTGTGTGAAAATGTGCATTGGAACTGCCCATGACATCAGGAAAATACGTGGTGTGGTGATCTCAGTGAGAGCTGGTTTGGAGAACTAATCAGCAGAAACCATATTGGAGTAGGTAGAAGAGAGAATGAGAGAAGAGAAATGAGTAATAAGGTACATAGAACACAGTTGTCAGAGGTTTGCCTTTGAAATGGAGGGATAAACAGAGTTGAACCTGGAAAAGAATGTGGCTTATTGTTTTGCCTCCATAGTGTTTCCTTTTCAGAATATTTATGTCTCTGGATAGATTTTATGGCTTTGATATATTGGCAAATTATATCAATATGTTTAATATCTTATTTATTTTATATCATAACATATTAAATTATTTACAATTATGATTGATCATTATTTTAATCTATTTTGAATATCAGTAAAACTGGCAAACTTCCTTCATAAAATAAAAATGGGGAACTGGATCAGAGAATCTCCTTCTCAACATTAAGGTAAAGAAAAAAATGTAGTCAAAACAAGGTGAAAATACAACACGAACCAAGGAAATACAGACAGCAAGAAAGAGTAGTGTGTAATCCAGAAGTAAAAAGAGATTTAACAATCATTACAGAAATTCAGAATACCAAACTTACAACATCAGATCTAAATAATAATAAAGACTTTTACACTGAAATCCCATGAACCCTGCATGTATGTGTGATGGTGAGAAACCCGCTTAATCTCTCTAAGCCTCAGTTATCTCATAAATAAAATGGATTCAACATATTTATATACTTGTTGTGAATCTTAAATGAACACATGCATTTCAAAGCACTTAACACAGTAGCCTCCATCAACTAAGGAGGTAAAATATGGTAGGTATTTTACTATTTTTCTTCATATATTAATTAGCTATAGATGAGAATATTATTTGTCTTTTTATAAAATTCTTAGGAAATTTGTCCTACCCTTCAGTAACTGGCTTCCAAAGGAAACAGCGTGAGAAAACATATTCTGTCACAAATTTTAGAGAGGCTCAGAGAAGTGTCCTCATTTCAAAGAAGTGTCCTATTTATACTCCATCAGAAAATGGTGGCTTGTATAAATACCTGAGACAGGGGAATTGGCATTTAAGTCAAAGTGCACACTTTTATTTACTGATGTTAGCACTTGGCACATTTCCACCCTCACTCCCAGCATCCCAGGACACACTCCCATAGCACCTGACTTTCCTTCCTCTCAAGGGAGATTCCCCAAAGAACACAGTCATTCACTCCCTTCGCCTTCCTGTCCATTCACACAGCTGCTTTCTGTTGTCATCCAGGCTTCCTGGTTTCCCTGTAGAGCAGAACGCCACAGGTAGAAACCGGAAGTGACATAACATTTCTAGGTTGTGCAGAAACATCTGCAGAAGAGCTTTTCCTGGATTTCCATTTAATGACATAATAGCAGCTGTAGCTAAAATGAAAGAGAAAGCGGGATCCAGTGGCGCTTGTGATGGGGTTTCTGAAAACCACCCAGGGAAAGACAGCCCCCGGGTGGGGCAGCGACCCAAGACTGGAGAGCTGGTTTCAGATCTATTCAGAAAACTTACCACTTCCTGGGGATTTCTCTTCCTGCTGCAAAAAGGCTACTCCTCAGCAAGAACAGATTCTATGTTGTCATAAGCCTGTTTCCTTACCGTTTGACTATTACAAAGAGAATGAGATTCTGCCTTCAGGCAGATCATGGACTCCTGAGGATTGGCAGTTACAGGAACAGAGAGACTTACTCCCTGCCTACAGCCTGCGGTGCAGACCAGTGCTCTCTCCCTAGGATCACGCCTTCCCATACTACTGGGATCCAGGGAACAAGTCGAGCTGCCAATCTGGGCATGAAACACAACACCATCCAGAAAAAGCTATCATTGTTTAACAGTGCATTAAACAACTCTTAACAATTCTTTCTTAATTTCACAGATTCATTACTAATATTAGACTTCAAATACTAACAATAGAAGAATATTTTCACTGTCATTTTGAATAACCATCTTGACACCTCAATAGCAAAAACTCTGCCTACGTAGCAAAGAGCTAAGGAATGTGAATGAATAAGATCATTGTTCCCTCAAAGCTAGTGAGGTTTATCTATTAAATACATTTATTAAATATATCAGTTTTGGTATAATTAGAGTGGCATTCCTGTAAGCAGCATCTTATGTTCATTAAGGGATTTCACCAGGAAGTGTGTGTGAATCACTGAGGTAGCAGGGACTAAGGTCCTGCAAATGCAGAGGGGTCTCTTCAATCTTTTCCTCGGGCTACACACTCAATATTGGATTTGTTGCTGTCAAACTGGGAGCGGACCAGGCCCTTGGAACAATTTCAACAAATGTTGTCCTTTGCAGTCTTCTCCTCCTTTTCAAAAGGGAGAATGGAGAAATGTAGGAGGTGGACAAGACTTGGCTTCCCAGCCTGTATATGTGAGGGTTCTCCAGAGAAACAGAACCAACAGGATGTGCACGTGTATATAAATATATACGAGGGCTGTCTGGAAACTCTCCAGCCATGTTACCAACAAAATATAACATGGCTAAATATTTTCTGGATAGCATATATATATATATATGTACATATATATACACACATGTGTATATGTTTATAGACACAAATATATATATATGGTGATAGACATTTATTTTATATAAATGTCACAAATATATATCTAATATATAAATATATATGTATATATATAGACACATGCGTCTATGTTTATAGACACACAAATATATATATATATATATATATATATATATGTATATGGCGATAGACATTTATTTTAAGGAATTCTCTCACATGATTGTGGAAACTTGACAGAAACAGAATCAGCCAGTAGCTGGAGACCCTGGGAAGAGGTGTAGTTTGAGTCAATGTGTGGTCAGCTGATAGAATTCCCTCTTCCTCTGGGCAGGTCAATCTTTATCTATTTAACCCCTCACTTAATTGGATAAAGCTCACCCACATTAAGGAGGATTCAAAGTCTACTGATTTAAAGGTTAATTTCATCTGAAACATGTCTTCATAGAAACATCTCAAATAATGTTTGACCATATATCTGGGTATCCTGTCCTAGCCAAGTCGACATCCAAAATTAACCATGACACTGCCCCTCCCTAGATGATGTCCTAACACACTTCAAATGTCATTCCTCTTCTACTCTTTGAAGGTGGCTGATGTGCTTTATATATGTTACATAAATTTCCTACATTTTTTGTTTCTAGGTGAGAAAAACCTGCGATTGGGCTCCATTCCATCATCAGGAAAGTCTCTGTAAGCCATGTCCTGTTTCATAGGGAGAAACTAGAAATTCGTGTACATTAAAAAATAGTTGTCCCTTTTTTTTTTTGTAGTTTAGCTATTTCTCATGAGCTTAAAATTATACCCCAGGCCTCCTCTTTTCTATTTAAAATCTAATCTTACTGTCAATTCTCCATTCCATCAAGATTATATTATTATCTATGGTGTAAGATGAGATTTTACATTGATTTCTGCCTTTATCACCAACTAACCATCCTGAAACCATTTATTGAAAACTTATTTCCACCATATTAACATCAAATATATCTTCTATCCTAAACCTAATTACTGAAGATAATACAGTTTCAAAGATTATATGGTCCAAAAGCCTGGTTACCTGTTTTTCTCCAGTATCACAGTTTTTCTCCTATATCACACTGTTTTTAGTATTACAATTATAAACTCACTTCATTTCCTAGTGGAGATAGACATGCAAAGAATTGTTACTCTCCTATTTTTTTCATATTATTACAAATATACTCTTCCTGTTTAAAAAATATTTCATCTACAGTGTAGACCATCAATTTCATAAAAATCACTGACTCTTGACGATGCACAATTTTAAAACACTTGAGGATTTCGCATGGAGTGAGGGATTAAAATATGGTTATCATTTTTTTATACATATAAATATCATAATAGGGAACTCTCCCTTCCCTTCCCTCAGTAATTCCTATAAAAACAGCCTAAAAATGCAATTCTGGGATGTGTTCTGGAGAAGACTGACAATCACTCTTCACATAGAAGATTAGTCTTATTTGTATATTCAGTAAGGAAAAGGTAGCTTACAGAAATATCTGGAAGAGAAGTTAGTCTCCTAAGGTGAAGTGAAACATACCTGTATATACTATTTGTTTGCTGATCCTCATACCTGGCACACTTACCCCTCCCTCGTTTCTCTGGATCCCATTCCTCACTCCCATATCACGATAGCTTCCATCCTCTCCCTCTAGAAACCCCCACTGCGCTCTCCTCTTCACTCATGAACCTGCACTGCCCATATACAGCTGTTTGCTGTTCCCCCCTGGGATTTGGCCATCATCGTCCCCTGAAGTGTATAAAGCCACTGATTGAAAGCACAAGTTGAATTAAGATGATGGTTTTTCATACATTTTTATATAGAAGGCCTTTTGCCCTTTCTTATGATAAATATTTCCGGAAATGAGGGGATTTTCCTATTACAGTAATGTAACAGTAGCTGTAGGGAAAAGGAAATAAAAGAGAAGTTCCGTTTAGCTGGGTCTATTAAAGCATTTACAGGGGAGGAGCGCCACCTACCGTCCAAAATAGGCAAAGACAGCAGTCATGCTTTCCTGTTTGTGCTGAAGTCTCTCCCCGGGCAGATTTTTCTTTCCGACCTAAAGAGAGGCTCTTTCCTCTAAACAGAAAACTGACCCTGGTACCGGAATAAGTACCATGTTACTTATTATAATTATAATTTCCTTAACTTTCGTGTCTTAGAAAGGTAAAATATTCCCAACTTCAGGTAGGTCATATCCTCTTTGAGCAATGGGCAGCTGTGTGGGGAGAGAGAGGGTCAGAATGCGTCCCCCGCCTCCAGCCTGCGCAGCCGTCCAGGGCCTCCTGACTCATCGGTCCTTCTACGTTCTGTGCCAAACCAGGAAGCGAGGGAGCCTGCCAATCCGGGTGTGAAACTGCAAGGGAAATCAGGGAAAAAATCCCTCCTGTTTGACGGTGCCTTAGCTTTTTCTTTAGAGTATATTGTCAGGCTTACAAATTTATCCCTCTTATCAGATCGAGTCCCTTAGCTTTGTAATCAGGACAAAATTCTCATTCTCACTTTGAATAACGAATGAGCTTGCATCACTTCCACCTTGACTCTAAACAAAGGAATTTCAGAGAAAACAGTGTTTATCAACTGACACCTATGGCCCATCCATTTGGGTAATTGAGAGGTATTGGGGTAATCTGTGAAACATTGTAATTAAAGAAGTTAATCAGGAAGTGTGTGTGAATTGCTCACGTGTGAATTGCTCACCTGTGAATTGCTCAGGTAGCCGAGAGAAGTTTCAATTTAGCAGGGATCTCTCAAATCTCCTCTGCCTCAGGTTAGAGACAATCTTTCCCTCTCTCCTATGCATGAGATAGAGGGCCCTTGTTTCGTGCTAAAGGATTTTTTCCTCCTTTATATATTTTCCTCCTTCATCCCTTATAGGGGAACCAGTTTAGGTGCAAGGCCACAGGGACATTTTTTAATAAACCAGATTCTGTCTTTATGATTGCCTAATGCTTGTAGAAAATTGTGACTCCTTTCATTCTTTGGTCACTGCTTTTTTTTTTTGTAATCTAACTTTTTAAATTACATTTTCAGGGTGCAAAAGTTCTATGATTTGGCTCTTTACTGTCACTTGTCCTGGAAGTCTCTGTAGCCATATCTTGTTTCATATCCTGGATTATTAACTTGTTATTATTCTTGTATTGGGGAACCAAGCAGCAGGTCTGGACAGACCCAGGCAGGCGGTACAGTGGGGGCTGTGCCTGCTGAGCTCCCAACCTGCCTGTGTCGGCCGAGGGGTCAGACTTTACTCCCCATCCCCACCCCAGCCTAAGCATATCTAGTCCACCTGAGAAGGGGCTCAGTGAGGCAGAGTTCAGCACCCCAGTGCCCAGGGAGACATGATGTGGGATCACCATGCAGCACCAGCTGGAGACAGCCAAGGTTTGTGAGCCTCAGGAGCAAGAGTGTGAATGTGGCCCCACCTGGACACTTCCTGTCACGTGATTCATGAGTTGCAGGGGTCAAAACCCACTGATGTCCAGTCTGTCACCGAAACAGAGTAAATGCAGGGATCCCTGCCCATATGGTCTACATTGAGTAAGCTGGTAAAGAATCTGGACGCTCATCGGTGCCTCTGTTCAGATGTTTCCACGTTCTGACTCTCCTAGGAGGAGAAAGCACCAGGCACAAGACTGACATTCGCTGGAAGACCAAAGTGCACATCATGAACTTGACGTTGAAAGAACCAGCAGCAGACAAGTGAGAAAAATGGTGTGACCCCTTTGCCTTAAAATATACTTCATCATGAATTAGAGTAAGTAATGCAGGAGCAGCAAGACAAATCTTGCCCAGTAAGGTTTGTGAAAAGAAAGTTTCACAAATTTTAAATGAAAAATCACAAACAAGTAAGGGAGAGACAGCTATTTCTTCCTGACAGAATAGCCTGGCCTCACTGCCCTGCCATGTGAGAGTGAGTCAGAGGAACAAAGAGCCCCAAGGGAATCACGCTGACTGGATGGACAAGTCAATAGTTTCTGTAATATGAGCTTCTCATGAAAGACACCATCACTGGGTCCCCCTTGCCCAACTGAGAAACATGGGGGGGGGTAACAACAGTTTAATTAAAAGAATTGAACAATAACAACCATATCTAGCCAAAATAAAAACTATTTGACTAAGAAGGTAAAATGATTGTAATTGGATAATCCATCCACCTCCTTAGATAAAACAAACTTTGACTATCAGAATCTGAGAACTGTTGACAAGATACTTGGGGACATGGGCCGGGGAGGAGGAAGTCAGCACTGAGAGCTAGGGTCCTAGAGTGTTTAGGGGCAAGGGCAAGGGTCTCGGAAGGTTAATTGTCCTGCTGACAAAGAAACAAGTCCTTCCACAGTAAAGGAGTTCTAACAGCATCAGGATGTGGCCAACCTGCTTTGAGAGAGTGAGTCTGGAAGAGTTTGGGTTGAGGACACTTTGTTACTCTAGAGAAAAAGGTGTTAGTAGATATGATGATCACTTTATGAGTAAGGTGGTGCTGTGAGTATAAATTATCTGGAAATTATAATGTCCACTCTCATATGCACCTGAAAGGAACCAGGATTTCTGTAGAATATTGACATAGCCAGAGGAGCACTATAGACCTCAGTAAGTAAATGGTGGGAAGAAAGGTCAATGTCTGTATTAATCCTGACCTTGTGGCCCTAGTAAAGCATAACCACATGGACCTCCATGAATGTTTCCTAGAAGGAGGAAACACATGAGAGAAGCTTGATCACTAATCATCATCATCCTCTTCATGATTAAAACAGCAAACAAATCTCCTTTCTTGTTGCTTGAGAGCTTATTTGCCACAAATGGTAAAGCCCTAACCAAATACAGAAACCCAAGGGGCCTGATTTTCCTATGCAAAGGGAGGAGGGTAAAAATGGAAACTAGGATAAGTGTTAAAAATTTGTGCCTGAAACAGAGAAAAGCTATATAGATATGTAAAGTTTGTGTCTGCGTGTGTGATCGTTTACACACATATAGTAGTAGATACACTTATAACTTTAGCACCAAAACATTTTACATTTAATTGATAAGTATCCATTTGTATTTACACATCTGAAGTTTACTTTTATTACAAGGATTTTTTCTGTAAAATTTGGATTCACTCAAAAGGCCACACTCAAGGATCCAGAAGACCACAGGTTCCCCACCCCTGGAGGGAGAATACACAAATGAAAACAAAAAATGAAAGTAAAAGTGTAGAGAAATGTTCAGAAAATGAAAACTACTTGTTCTCTATTTATAAGCCATGCATAGAACCTACAGTCTTCAGAGAACCTACATTCCAAGGCTCACCCAGACCCCAGCTCAGCCTCACTTCCCAATGGCTCTCCTGCTCCCCCTACTGACGGCCCTGGTGATGTGCAGCTGTGGCCCTCTTGGGTCTCTGGGCTGTGACCTGCCTCAGAGCCAAGGTCGGCTTAGCAGGAAGACCTTGGTGCTTCTGGACCAAATGAGAAGAGTATCCACTTCCTTGTGTCTGGAGGACAGAAACGACTTCGGATTCCCCCGGGAGATGGTGAATGGCAGCCAGTTGCAGAAGGCCCAGGCCGTGTCTGTCCTCCACGAGATGCTGCAGCAGATCTTCAACCTCTTCCACACACAGCGCTCCTCTGCTGCCTGGAACACCACCCTCCTGGTCAAGCTGCGCACTGGACTCCACCAGCAGCTGGAACACCTGGAGACCTGCTTGGAGCAGGCGATGGCGGACGAAGACTCTGCCAGGGTGATCGATAACGCTACACTGGCGTTGTGGAGGTACTTCTGGAGAATTCGTCTCTACCTGCGAGAGAAGAACTACAGTGACTGCGCCTGGGAAATTGTCAGAGTGGAAGTCGTGAGCTCCTTCTCTTCCTCAACGAACTTGCAAGAAAAGTTAAGAAGCAAGGACGGAGACCTGGGGTCACTTTGAAATGATTCTCATTGACTTATCTGCCATATCACACTTGCACAGGTGTCTTTGGTCATTTCAAAAGATTCTGATTTCAACTTTAGTCACAGAATTTATTGAATTAATTCAGCGAATATTTTGTCAGAGTATTAAGCAAGTTAAAAACACTCAAATCCAGGGGCATTAGCCCCTAATATGTTATTTATTGTTAATTTATTTATTTTTATTCATTTATTTATTATTGCATCTTATATTTATAGTTTTTATATTTTTCATATAACAGCTGTTTGCCTTTACATTGAATTAAAATTAAAAAGCATGTTCACCTTTCCATTTTATTAAAGATTGTATTTTATTATTTATTAAACTAATCAAACAAAATTTCTTGAATTTGTTTATTCTAAAACCAAAATCCAAATGCTGGTTTTCTGAATCAAACTGAAAAATAGATGGTAATATTTATTTACTTATTCATTCACTCCATACACATCATGTGTATAAAGCGAGTATCCAAGTGGCAGGTTTTGGAATTGCTATCAAGAAATACAGATGAATAAAGCAAATACAGTTCCTTCTGTGCTGAAACTTTCACTGTTACAGGAAAAGAAACATAAAAGCAATACCGATTTCACTTATATGAAATACTATGATGATATGTAAAAGAAACTTCAGGTACAAATGATATTGAGAAAGAAAGAAAATTGAATGAACTTCCTATGAGAGACATGAAAGTTCAGAGTGTTATTGGCAGTTGGGAATATGAGTCTAGAATGAACAGCAAGTGTCATGGGTGAAGGTATAATATTAATTTAAGATGTTTTATTGCATGTCTGTTAATGAGGACATGGGAATGAATATAGTCACTTATAAATAGAGGGGACAATGAGATGGGGACCTAAACCTATGTATAGAATGCATTCTATTTTTATGTACTAATAGAGAAAAATTTCTGTCTATTACTCAATGACAAAACAAATTAAAGAATGATATATATGGAATTAACATTTATTGAAATATACTAAATATTTCTATATATATTTATTAAATACACAAGAAAATGACTAAAAGGATACACATTAAATTATTAGCCATGTGAAGTTGGGCTGAATCTCCTAAGAGCTCAAGGGTGGGTTTTTTACATGTATGAATTTTTCAAAGTTTTTACCATGACAATATATTAATATGTAAATATATTAATATAATATGTCTGTTATAAATATAAGTAAACTTGAGAAATCCTCTTCGGTTCCTTAAAGTCATACTCATCATGGCAGCTACCTGTCTTTGCATTTGCTTATCCATCTTTCCATAAGCTCCTGCCTTTCTTGCTCTCTTGGTCTCACCCTGATCAGTCATGGAAGACTTTTTCTCCCAAGAGTAGCTGCATTTATGCATCTCCATCCTTTACTTCAATAAGCTCAACAGAAAAGATAGTTGAGAGATACAGTTTGTCCCCTTTACGGAGCATAAGGGAGAGCCTGAGAATACTTTTACTTGCATATTTTTCTCTCTGTTATGTAAATTTTGAAAATGAAATATTTATAACCATTACAAGGCTATGCCTAATAAGTGTTATATGAAAAATATTATCATAAATTAGAGCCAGGAGAGAATACTGACAGCTAATAACTTGAGAGGTTTCCTTGAAGATCTTGGTTAGATATTTTTTCTGTATTTTTCTGTGATATGATAACAACTTCCTTAATACTATAATCATGTTCTCACTACTTCCTAGGACTCGGTCTATGAATAATTCATTACCTACATTACCCACTTCATGATCACCAAGGACCTGATTGACAAATTCAGTAGACTTTTCTCAATTTTAAATAACAACAATAACCATCTATTTTAGGGGTCAAGTGTTATTCTGTGCTGCATACATTATCTCATTTAATCAAGTCAACGACCCTGCAAGGAAGGTGTTATTATTCTCATTTTATAGAAAAGGAAACTGAGGCTGCTCAAAAAGCTTAAGTATGTTTCCCAAGGTCATACAATTAACCATGGTAAGCTCGAATTTAAACATTGGCTCAAATTCAACAAGACTGCTGCCCTTACCCACAACGATGTAGTGATAATCAGATGTTATGCGAAACTTCAAAAACATTATTTTAACATTTTAATTATGGTAAAATGCACATACCATAAAATCTACCATCTTATCTTTATGTGAACAGTTCAGTAGTGTTAAGTATATTCATATTGTTGTAAAACCAATCTCCGGAACTCTTTTCATCTTGCAAAATTGAAACTCTATTCCCACTAAACAGTAACTCCCTATTTCTTCCTCCCCCGAGCCTCTGCACTCTCTGTATCTATGAATTTGACTTAGCATCACTAATAATTAGGGAAATGCAAACCAAAACCACAATGAGATACCACCTCACAGCCATTAGGATAGCTATTATCAAGAAAAAAAATAGAAAAGAAAACAAGTGTTGGCAAGGATGTAGAGAAATAGGAATCCCTGTGGGAATATAAAATGGTGCAGTAGTCATGGAAAAAGTACCTGCTGTAAGTAGAATCAGACAGTATTTGTCTTTCTGTGACTGCCTTATTTCATTTAGCATAATGTACTCCCGGTTCATCCATGTTGTATCATGTATCAGGATTTCCTTCCTTTTTAGGCTAAATAATATTCCCTGGTGTGTATAGAACACATTTTGTTTATTTGTTCAACCATCTGTGGACATTGGGGTCACTTCTACCTTTTGACTATTGTGAATACTGCTGCTCTAAACATGGGTATATATTAATAAATATCTTTTCAAGATACTACTTTAAATTCTCCTGTATATGCCCATTAGTGGAATTGCTTGACATATGATAATCCTGTTTTTAATTTTTGCGGAACTGCCATACTGTTTTCCATAACTACTGTGGGGGCTGGGCCTAGAAGAAAGGATGGATGGATGGAAAGAACATGAGCAGGGTGAACGAAGGGTCAGGTGAAAACGCCTCCCGGAAGCTGCTTGTTAGCTGTGTGCAAAGGTCAGCTGAAACAGGTGACCTGTAAGGATGTCCTTAAAGAAATTAGCAAACGGCCCTGACCTTTGCACCTGTCCTTGGAAATAAATACAACAAGGAAGTTAACTGAGGAGGTCATTTTCTCCTTCAGACTTTGGTCTCTCCCCTTCTCTCCCAGGGGTCCTCAAACTTTTTAAACGAGGAGCCAGTTCACTGTCCCTCAGACCATTGGAGGGCAGTTGGAGAGAGTGACGCTCATTCCACACATGCGCACCGTGGGCCTGGGATGAGTCGACTGCTAAGCAGGACAAGCAGCAGCAGCAAAAACAACCAGCGGGCCTGATAAATGTCCTAAGCAGGCTGCATGTGGCCAGTGGCCGTAGTTTGAAGACACCTGCGTCTAGACACTATGTGTTTCAAGTAATCGGTCATTCCTTAGCTACCGAGCTCCAGAGGGAAAAGCAGCAGCTACAAGTGGTAACCCCGACGTGACTCAGGAATCCACTCATCCAGTGAGCACTTTTTTCATCCCAACAAGAAGGGGACTCCTCTGGGTAAGGAACAGTCCCGCCCACTGCTTTGGGAAAGGGACCCATGTACGTAGTTTACAAGGGGATTTTCAATATGGGGCAGCATCTGACAAAAGACCAGCAAATTTATCTGCGCACTTTGCAACAACTCTTAAAGGCTGCCCAGTGTTTTGTCCAACCAAAAGCTTTACAGTAACTTTTTTTTTTTTTTGAGACAGAGTCTTGCTTTGTTGCCCAGGCTAGAGTGAGTGCCGTGGCGTCAGCCTAGCTCACAGCAACCTCAAACTCCTGGGCTCAAGCAATCCTTCTGCCTCAGCCTCCTGAGTAGCTGGGACTACAGGCATGTGCCACCATGCCTGGCTAATTTTTTCTATATATATTAGTTGGCCAATTAATTTCTTTCTATTTATAGTAGAGACGGGGTCTCGCTCTTGCTCAGGCTGGTTTCAAACTCCTGCCTCAAGCAATCTGCCGCCTCGGCCTCCCAGAGTGCTAGGATTACAGGCATGAGCCACCGCGCCCGGCCATACAGCAACTCTTATGTGCAGTAAGACAGCATTACCCCTGGTTCCTAGATGTGGGCACGTTAGATTTTAGAGCTCTGAGAGCAATTAGGGAAGGTTCTTAAGAATTTTAGGGGGTTCTGGTGTCCCTTGCTGTATTAACTACATGGAGCATGGTGCAAACAGCGCTGACTCTCTTGCATGTTCCCACGGATTCTAATCTGCTAGAACCTGCTCCTCCTCTGCCATCTGCTCCTCCAGAGGAGCCAGCATCCCCTGCCATAAAATTCCCAAATCCTAAGTCATTCTCCCCACTATCGCCTTCTGTGGTTCAACAGGAGCAGCAGCTACCTGCTCCTCCTCTTCCTCCCCCTCTCAAAGGGAATCTCTACTCCTCCCCCGGTAAACCATCTGCTTTTCAACATTACCTATGAGAGGGCCAATCTTTAAGGGGACAAGGTTTGCTAGAACTATGGAATCTAACTACCCAGCCTTCTCATTAGGGGCCACTGCTCAGGTGCATGCAATACAATGCACACCTTTATGATGGGCTACTAATTTTCCCATCTGGATAGAGCCATTTGCCCATTAAGCAGGATAAATTAAAACATTTAAAAATCTCTTATCCAGGACCAACTTAAAGTGGGACACATAGAACCTTCCCAGAGTCCATGGAACATTCCTATATTCGTCATACCTAAAAAGAACAATAAGTGGTGTTTACTACAGGACCTAAGAGCTTTTAATACTATTATAGTCCCGGTGGGACCCTACAACCCGGCCTTCTCCAGCTGTGATCATAGGGAAGAGGATATGTTAGCAGTCAAACTTATACAGGTCCCCCAAGTGATTCCCTTCCAGACAAGTTTGCCTATATCATGAGCTAGAAGAATCAACCTAATAACCAGATTCCACAAATAAAATGTTTCTCCCTCCAGCTGTAACACCATGACGGCCCCTGGCATCACGTAGAGTCAACTGAAACTAGAGACACAGGCCTCAGCTATGATGACACGAC